GATATGACGAGAACCTACATGCCACTCCGAAGATTGTTATATTTGTATGACAAAAGTACTTGGCTTTGGAAAATCAAGAAAAGTGATTTATGCTAACGTAACTAGCGTTTCATTGCCAGTTCCACATTCAGCTGAAGTTTCATCCAGTTCGTTGTCAACTGCAGTATCTGAAAGATCATCTGAATATAGGAAATCAGGTTGTAATGAATTTTTAATGGAAAACGAGAGAAACGTTCTATCACAAGCGCAACTAAATGATTGGATTAGAGATTTGGAATTATCCAAGGAAAAAGCTGAGCTACATGCCTCTCGTATGCAACAATTTMAATTCGTGTCACCCCATGTTAAGATGACATATTATAGAAATCGTCACGAACCATTTGCCAAAYACTATACGAAGGARGAYAATGTATGCTATTGCAAAGACATTCCAGGATTATTCAAAGAGTTTSKTCAACCATATGATTCCGAGGAGTGGCGATTGTTCATAGACAGCAATAAACTGAGCTTGAAGGCCGTATTATTGCATAATGCCAACCAAAGGCCCTCAATCCCGATCGCGCATGCAGTAAACACGAAGAAAACATACGAGGTAATGAAGAAATTGTTAAAATTCATTAAATATAAAGAGCATGATTGGAAAATATGTGCCGATCTTAAAGTCATTGGAATGTTATGCGGTCTAAAAAGTGGCTACACAAAACACTGCTGCTTTCTCTGCAAATGGGATAGCCGAGCTCGTAAAGACCACTATTGCATTAAGGATTGGCCGGAAAGAGTTGAATTTACAATTGGTGTGGATAATATCAAATACATCCCACTTGTAACGAAGGAAAAAATCATTCTTCCGCCATTRCACATCAAGCTCGGCCTCATTAAATTTTGTTAAGGCGTTGGACAAAGAAGGCAAAGCATTTAATTATTTGCAAAATTTTTTCCCAAATATTTCCCAGGCCAAGATAAAAGAAGGCATATTTGTTGGACCCCAAATAAAAAAGTTGATAAATAATGACCAATTCAAAGGACTATTGTTACCAGTTGAGGCAGCAGCGTGGGATTCCTTCGAAATGGTCGTTTCTTCTTTTCTCGGTAAACACAAAAGTCCAAACTACGAGAGGATAGTGAGTGACTTAATCAAAAATTATGCAGAAATTGGTGATTATTCAAAACTTATTTAATTTAATTATATAAAATTTTATAATTTACTTATTTACATTTTCTTTTTTCTCCAGGCGTAAATATGTCTTTAAAAATTCATTTTCTG